AGGAGCTCGCCCCGTCCTCTCCCGCCCCGCCCCCAAGAGGAGCTCCGCCCCCAGAGAGAGCCCGCCCCACCCCCATCGCCCCGCCCCACCCACCAAGAGAAGCTTGCCCGTCCTCGCCCGCCCCGCCCCCAAGAAGAGCTCGCCCCGCCCCCAGGAGGATCCCTCCCACTCTCGTTCGCACCCCCCCGACCCTCCTCCACCCTCGCTCGCCCCGCCCCCAGGAGGAGACCTCCCCCTCCCTCGCTCGCCCCCAACCAAGAGGAGCCCTCCGCCACCCTCGCTCGCCCCGCCCAGAGCCCTGCGCTGTCGCCCCCGCCGCGGCACTCAGGGTCCTCGCGGGAAGTGCCGGAGCGGGAGTGTCGGGGGGCCTTCCTGCCCAACGCGCGCACACTGCGGCCCACACAGCTTTGCTTTCCTTTACTTTCTGCCACTGACTTGTTTTCTCTCCTGCAGTCTGAGCGCGGAAAAAGTTTTCCAACTTTTGAAAGAGGTTTTCGGACAGAACTGAAAGCGCCTGGCAATTTGCAGCGCCCCAGCGCCCTGGACTGCCTTGGAGAGTTGACCCACCACCCCTCCAGAGACAGCCTCAACCAGGAGCTGAAGATGCGCTTACCCCGAGGCTGGGGGTCGGGTCGCAGGTGGGGGTGGCGGACACCTGTTCAGCGGTCACCAACTCGCGTCTTGATCTGCTGGCTTACTATGGAACCCTTTTCCCAACCCAGATGTGCGTTAAACTTCACACACTCCACGTTGCATGCGATTCCTCGAAGCCTTTTTCCAAAACGACTCTGAACAAAAACAAGTATGATTCAAATTTGTAAATGCTGAAACAGATGTTTTGCTATCGTTTCACAGACATCACTGTAACCTGAAAAGCAAAAGGTTCTTGAAGCTTGTTTTAAGATAAATGTGTGATTACAACCGTATGGACTTAGTTTGTTGACCCTAGCAGCTAATACACAAAACATTCAGCAGCCCGTTCACACCAGATGTTTTGTTTGGGTTTAAAGCCTAGCTGCCCCTGGTGTAGAAATCAAGGAAGGGAACTGGCGTTTGTTCACTAAAATTTTATACAGTTAAGTGAGATTAAAAATGGATGTCCACGGCAGAGGCCACCTTGTAGTATTTCCCCTCTGGCTTTGTGGGGCTGGAGGAGAAGGTTGCTTACACCTTCCAAAAGCCGCAGGTCCTCTCGGCACCAGCTGGTGCTTCTTGAGCCTTCTGCCACCCCACAGCTGCCTTCTAGAAGCCTTCCAGCTCCTGCTAACTGCAGCAGAGCCAAGGCACTCATTCTAATTTGTTCTGCTTAGATTTAACCCCTCAACAAAGTTCAATCAGCCCTGTTTTCTTCCATTGGGTTCATCTCAGGTGATCCCGCAAGATTAACCCTTTTTATTCGTTTGCAAATATTTCCTCCTCTTGAGTCTGAGAACATGGGAAAAGGCTAAGATAATATACTAAATAAGACAAGCTTCCAATTCTGCTTTATTATAGTAGGAGAGAATCTCCATTACAGGCCCACTTACCAGAAAGCCCAAAGAGACTATGAAAGTAAAGAGAGCATGCATGAAGCAAATTGTTCCCTCTAGCTCAAAGGCCCAGAGAATAATGATCTCCCCATGGTATTGTTAAATGACTTCTGGATTTGTCTCCCACTTGTACTGTGACTCAAGCGGGCCACAATGCCTACCCAAGGGTACATTGTTCAGGAAGTCTTTCTGGGGATAAAAGTGGGTGGGAGCCACTAAGATTTATTACTGGATTTGGTTTTAACTTATAATAATATTTCTCTAAAAAATAGCTCTCAAGGAAAATGCTGTGATGGTCTACATATTTCTCCTCTCTCCTGGGTAAGTGAGGAGGCATGGGAGTGTAGCATCACAATATGTCAAGGTCTTAATATTGAAGCTCTCTGCAGTATTGTAGAAATAATGCTAATGCTAATCCAGGTAGAATCCCTTCTATTCACGGATGACTTGCAATGGTATATGACAATGTAAATGTTATTAGAGGCCCCTAACGTGAACAGTTGAGCCAATACAGAGCCACGATATATTTTTTTCTGAAGAGCAACCACGTCATGAAGGAAACAAACAATATCTAACAACATAGTGATCTCCACTCTGTGGCATAGCAAAGCACTTGAAGGAATTTTAAATGCAAACAGTGCCATGCCTCCAGTAAGGCAAACTTTGTCTAGAAAAAATCAGCTTAAAGCCGGAAAACAATAACACTTGAATTTTCCTTTCTTTGCTTTATCTAGTATTTATCAGTTTTCTAGATGTCTTTCATTCTTATAATTTGAACTCATATAATAAACTTCCAAATATCAAGTTCTAAGATTGCATTAGGAAGTTTGTAAAAATGTCAAATTTTAGAGTTGTAAAGACCTTAGAGATACTAGTTTGTCACAGTTGTCTCATTCATTCATCTGGTTATTCCCTGGACACTTGGTGAGTGCTTCCGAGAGAAGCATGTTTACTGTGAAACTGATAAAGTTCAAGTTCCAGGGCTCTTACTGGCACATCTTTCCCAATGTGACCTTGACAATGTGGTCCCTGGTTTTGTATTTTTTACAAACTTACAAAAGTAACTGGGCACAGTAGGTTACATGGCCTTCTAATGTAATCCCAACACATTAGAAGGCCATGGTGGGAGGATCACTTGAACCCAGAAGTTCGAGATCACCCTAGGCAACATAGGGAGACCTTGTCACTGCAAAAAATAAAAAAACTAGTCAGGCATGGAGGTGCATATCTGTAGTCTCAGCTACTTGAAAAATCGAGGTGGGAGGATTGCTTGAGCCCAGGAGGTCGAGGCAGAGGTGAGCCGTGATCATGCAGTTCAGGCAACACAGTGAGACCCTGTCTCTTAAAAATTAATTTAAATAAAATATTTTAATGTGATTAAGTTGATGAAGACCACAGTCAGTTTCCAGTTAGAATTCTCCTCCATCGCACTTTATCACACCCTCCTACAGTTAGTTGGTGTTAGAGTTATGGGGAACATTTGGGAATCTGCCTGGGAATTTGAGCTGGGAAAACATTTAGTTTAGATTTAAATGGTTTTCAACCTCTCCAAAGTATAGAAATTGCTTCAATCGCAATATGTCCACTGTGTAACTCACCAAGCATGATTCCCAGCAGGCAAGGCCAGAGGTCTATCAAGACATGTACACATTCAATATATTATCCCTGACACTGAATGTCAGGGATGAGATAAGATTTGAAATGCACAGTAGCCGCAGATAGCATGTGGAAAATTATGCCAGGCATCAGAAGATATAGTTGCAAAAGGAAAAATGGCCCCTTTTTGGTGTAACTTCTCTGGTAACAGTAATATGTTCAACAATGCAGTAGATACAATGTTTAATAACAGTGAATGCATTTTTTCTTTGATTTAAATTATGTAAAATAGAATTTATTGGAATTCTTGTTTATAGGGCACAAGTCTGTAGCTATATCACAAATAGTGTGTGCATATATGTGTATGCATAGTGTTGCAAGTTTTACACAGCCTATCAATAATAAGTAAGATAAACAACTACTGGGAAGATTAAATTATCTTTTGATTATTTTTATAGAAAACTATATTAGAAAATTATTGTCATATGAAAGACTATCAAAGAGTATGCTACCAAAAATGTAAGAAAAAAGTATTATAGGGGTGTGCCGGGCAGTTCATTTAAAAATATATATATATTGTTTCTCTAGACGTTGTTACATTTATAGTATGTCAGGCATTTAAAATTGGTAATTTGCATGATTTGTTTTTCATTCTATATAAATATTCAGTTTTGTATTTAATTTTTATTCTTATTCTTAAGTCCTTTTTCTTTAAAGCAGACCCCCAAATTCTAAAACTTCAGATTCCACAAACTCTGGGTCTATCCTTAGGTGTCCAGTATATGTCAGATGTGGACTCATTCTTAGAGACACAGTGATGGAAGACCAATTGCTTGCCCTCAAGGAGTGAGCTGGATAAGGGAAACAGATAAGGAAATAGGATAAGACAGGGGACACTCTTCTGTGGGCAGACATAGGCTGGATCCCCACTTAGTCTAGAGTAGCAGTCTCCGGCCTCTTTGGCATCAGAGATCAGTTTCATGGAAGACAATTTTTTCACAGACCAGGGTTGGGGGTATGGTTTCAGGATAATTCAAGTGTATAACATTCATTGTGCACTTTATATTATTATTACATTGTAATATAAAATGATAAGTAAATAACTCACCATATTTTTTTAAAAAGAGGACAGATAGAAGTGGTAAATAAAATAATGGTGGGCCACACACATACTAAAATAAGTGCTGGATTCTGACTTAAAGTCAACCACCAGATGAAACGGACAATTGAAGTACATCAACTCACTTGCCACTCACTGATAGGGTTTTGATATTAGTCTGCAAGCAATTGATTTATTATGGTCTCTGCAGTCAAACTTCACTGCTCATATTAATCTCTCCTTGCAGCCACTCTCCAGCACTAGCATCACAACCTCAGCTCCACCTCAGATCATCAAGCATTGGATTCTCATAGGGAACATGCCACCTAGATGCACCTCGCATGCACAGTTCACGATAGGGCTTGTGCTTCCATGAGAATCTAATTCTGCTGCTGATCTGGTAGGAGGTGGAGCTCAGATGGTAATGCGAGTGATGGGGAGTGGCTGTAAATACAGATGAAGCTTTGCTCACTCACCTGCTGCTCACCTCCTGGGTGTGGGGCCCAGTTTCTAACAGGCTATGAACCTCTCCATGGTCCAGGGGCTGGGGACCCTCGTCTAAAGGGTTCCTGGAAGGTTCACTAGGGGAGACGACTGTCAACATGCTCTCTTCATCTCCTATGACTACCTGACTTCCACAAAAAGACTACAATTCTGTAATGTGTGTGGCATATGAGAAAACCTGAAGTTCCTCACACTGTAACTGAAATGTCGTTCCCAAGACATAAGTACAATTCTCCCCAAAGGCATTAGGATAGACAGAAGGTGCCAATCCTTGAAGCACTGAAACCAGGAGGTGAGAGTAGTTTAGAAATGCTAAGCTTTTTTGTTCTGAAAAGTCCACCAGAAGGATACACTTCTGTATCTATCTTAGAGCACAGTATTTACTGTGTGGCAGGTGGCCCAGGAAAATTAAGACAGCTGTCAACATCAAGGAAAGCAGCAGCCCATGAAAGAGCAAGCAGATGGATTGGGTACTTCACTAGCTGCCTCCAGAATAATAGCTGTGCGTGGCCAATTGAGGCAATGTCATGCTGCCCAGGGCAGCAAAGAGCAATTACTGAATATAAGCACTCATTAGGACATAGGGCGGGGAAATATCCTCCCCTTTCCTTTGTTTGTATACTCAAGTTTTCATTACAAACCACTGCAGCAAATAAGAAAGGGGGGGAAATGGTGTTAGCATTTCTCATTCTGTTACTTTCTGATTATCGTGGTTTGTAACTCAGGGAAATGCCTGTCTTGCTGCTTCAGTGAGAGCAGATGGTGAAATTTTTAAGTAATTGGCTATTCCGACTTCTATGGGATGCATGATGTTTTATTGTATTGTTTGTCTGGTTTTTATCTGCAGAACATGTGGCGATTAAGATCTTTCAAACACACATCTTTTAATGTTTAAATTAAGTAAGATGTGTTAGCCTGACCTAAATTGCATTTATACTTTTTTTCCCTTGGATACGATGATACTTACAAAGAGGCAAAAGTTCTTTACAAAAATATAACATTAACATTGAAAACCAAATATATACTTCTCAAGCCGTACAAAATTTGCCAAATATCAAACATTGGACTCTTAAAAGGATTTAAATAGAAGAAGCATTCTTTGGCAAATGTCGACTATAAAATGTTTCCAAAATAATTGTGCAAAATCAATTCAGTTTGATGTCATATATCTAAGTCAAATGCCATCTAAAGCATAAAATCATATGTAGGATATTAACTTTTCTTAATGCAGCTTCATAACCCTGACATAGATAATGGCTCAGGATAATTTTAATTTACTACGAGATGAGAAATTCAGCCTCTATCTTCTATTTTCCCAAAATATTTCATTTGCATGCATAAACTATGCACTGTAATATGCATTTCTGATATACTATTTTAAAACTATCTATTCTATAAAGTATTATAAATTTCTTGACTGTGTTATATTAGTGTTGATTGTGAATTTTATTTTTTAGGACTTTATGAAACAAAACATTAAGGTAAAAAGAAAAAAATGACTTGTGAATTTGCCTCCTTTTTTTTTTCTTATTTTGATGTTTTATAACTTACATGTCCCGGAAG